TGAGTAATATGAATCCAAAGAACAGACTATCCTCTTTTCATGCCTTTATTCTCCCTGCAAAATATGGAGGAAGGAGAGATAGATATGTGAGGCTTAACTGTCCAGGGTTAGTGCAAACAGTTTGCAGTCTTCCTGTTTGCTTCCTCCTTGGTTTTTCTCAGTCCCTGTAGGAAATTGTGTGTGTGTGTGTGTGTGTGTGTGTGTGTGTGTGTGTGTGTGTGTGTGTGTGTGTAAGCAGTGAAAAGAAAGAGAGACTGACTTAAGGAGAGTCAATATCACATATGAAATGAAATTCAACAGTTTGCTATTAGATATATATGAGTAAAAGGCTATGTTCAAGCTAAATTGATTAATGAATGGGTCCTAATTGTGTGCTAATTGCTCTGAATAAATTAGCACACAATTAAGGAGGACCCTAGTTAAACTTAGCCTTGTCTATTTTAAACATTCCTTTGTATTAAAATCTCTGCCAGGTTAGTCATTAGTAGCTACCTGTAGAAGGTAACAACCATGAGTTTCACAAATACAGCAGAGATGTCCGCTAGAAATGTAATTCAGCCACGAATGCAAACCATATATGTAATTTAAAAATTGTCTAGTAACCACATTAACAAGTAAAAAGAAGAAAGTGAAATTAATTTTAATAATGTATTTGACTTGACCTAGTATATCCAAAATTTTATCATTTCAATATGGAATCAATATAAAAATATTAATGAACTGTTTTACCTTTTTTGTACTGAACCTTCAAAATCCAGTGTGTATTTTATACTTATTGTTCACCTCAAGTCGGAGTAGCCACATTTCAAGCATACAATAGCTGCATATGGGTTGGCTATTGTATTGGACAACACAGAACTAACATCCCACTCATGCTTTCCAGTACGGATAGCCTTTCTACCACTTACATATTTTTTTGTTGTAACGAAAGAAAAGGGAAACAGAACACTGCATGTTATATGAGGACTGCAACATTTCTCCAAATGCAGCACAGCAGTACCAAGAGCTGTCCTGTGGAAAAATATATTCTGTGATTAAATAAGTTAGGAAAGTTTTATTCTTTTACCTCCTTTTGGAGATTACATAGCTCATTCACATATTAAAGACCCTGAGAAAATGCTCCTGGGTAAAGAAACTTGTTTGCATGTTGCTGAATTGTTGAGTTCTATGTCTCACACAAATTCTAGAGATCACCACAAGTGTCTCTCCATTAAAAAAAAAAAAAAAAAACAAATAATTTTGTGTTTTCTTCTCCTTCACCACTCCTTTTGGAGTCCATATCTATTTTTCTTTGTATTCAGAATCACCTGAGAAACAGGCAACTTACTATATTGAAACCAGTTTTAAGGTCTTGCGCTTGGACATAAGTCTTCAGAAAGTGCCACATACATACCCTTCTCTTCTTTCAGAAATGATGAACACTCTAAAAAAGAAGCGAAACATCTGAATGTGTATATGTGTAAACACAGAATACATACAGTTTCTTAAGTACAGTTAAATACAGTTCCTGCTGATACTTCCTTTTTATATTTTGTGTGGTGTTAAATTACATGCTTTAATGTGCACTGATCTTGTAATATGAGTGAAGTTACTGTGACATAGCAATCAGTTTAAAGACGATATAAACTATAATTGACTACTGTCAGTCTTTAGCAAATGCATTTTTTTTTTTTTTGAATTTGGTCTTAGAGGGGCCTCTGATGCTGTCCCTATAAGTTTTATTTTTAAGATCTGTGCTTACGTGGCAATTACCAACAAAACAAATCCTGCTGCTGACTTTGATTCAAGTTGACTGTGGTAACTCTTATATATGGTTGTATTCAAATAAGAGATTGATTTAAATAGTTTTGTCTTTGTATTTTAGGACTTTGGTATTTCAATATTAGAGTTGTCATCTGAAGACTGTAGCAGCAGTTGAATTCTTTTGTTCTTGAAAATGCAAAGTGTAATATGAGCTGTATATATATATATACATACTCTCCAGGAGTAGAAGTGGAGTATTTTAAGTGCAAAAGTTTGGCTTTAGAATCTGATAAGGAAGGGCAGCCGATTCTCTAAAAAGGTAATAGCTTTCCCAACTTTGAACATCTGGGGGAGCTCTTCTTAGAAGGGAAGGCTGAATTTTAATCTCTTGGATTTAATGGCACTAAATTAGCAAAAACTTTTAAAATGGATTGTTATAGAATTCATTTATTAGAGGAAACACATTGCAAAGCCATATACTGGAAAAGGTATACTGGGTAAGCACCACGTGTTAGTTTTGGAATGTGTATTTCCCAGTGAATAGAATTTACTGCACCAAAAAGCTGTTTTTGCACAATTCAAAGTACTTGCAGACATATAATTGTGTCATTAAAGGAAAAAAAGCTCACCTTCCTAATGATAAATTTCACAAGCAGCAAATTAATGAAATTTCTTAAATAAATTATATGCCAATACAGTATAATTACTTATTCATAATTGTATCTAGTGATGAATAAGTACTATTATTTAACATACTGTTGAATTTTGAAGAACTGGTCAATGAATTAGTATTATTAATAAAATTGTACTCTTTGCAATATATGTGCCTCGGCACAAGTACAGAGTTAAAAACATAAAATTATTTAGAAAAAAACAGCAAATAATAGAGACTGGTTGTTACTAATTTAAAATCCTTTTAATCTTCATTAGCACTAAATCCAACAACAGTTATCTGTTGTATATAACTACAATTTTGACATACTTGCACACAAAATGAGAGGCTTTTAAAAAACGCCTCTTTGCTAAAACAGGTTCTATACCTCTTGCTAATTGTTATATTTCATTAGGGGCACTTTGAGGCGCTTTCAAAGGCATATCTGTAGCAATTAGGTCTAAATTTAGAGCAGAACATTCTGCCAGATAATTTACTATATCACAAAAATGTTGTACTGCTGTATTTTATAATAAAACTAAATTCTCTAGTATTCTGGTATGCTACATATTATTAGACCAAAACATCACTTTCTAAAAGTCTGTTATTGTTTACATAATATTTTAAAAAATAATGGGTATTTCGGTCCTAGTGAAAAAGTATAATACAGTACACAACATTAAATTGATCTTTAGTCAAAATCCATTTAGGTGTTTGACAGGGAAACTAACAATCATAAACTATAATGCATATATTATTCTCAAGGACAAAATGACAAATGATAATACAGAAAGACATGATGATCAGAGCAAGTTAGCTGGTGTGCAGACTGAGAAGGATCAACTTGCAAATACTCATCAGATTTTGGCTTTTGTTATTGGTTGTTCCTGGAGGGGAAGTACTAGTCAGGGTGTTGCTTCCCCCTTTATTTGGGGGGTTTGCTCACAGTACACTGTGTGGTGTAATTAAATCTCTTTAGAAGCAAGATAGAGTCAGAAGCTTAGCGATGCACCTTATGGTTTTTAAAACTGCTGTTACAATGTTCCAAACACTGTGATCTTTCCAAATGTGTTTTCTGTATTAGTTTTGTACTGTAGAAAATAATTCTCCATAAACTGGACTTTATAGTGTTTAAAGCAATGTTATTTATTGGCTTATGCCCTCCCCTGATACATTTACATACAGTACACTTAATCATGTAAAACCTGTGTAATCCTTTGCCTTAAAATAAAATCTAATGCTAAATATTGAGTATGTTCTAATTAATAATTTTAAGCTCCTAATAGATTTTTTTCTTTGTAGTTAACCATGGTATCAAATAAAATATTACACAAATACTCTGTGGAGTGTTGTTGATCATTCTGTATTTGTGACAGTGTATGTATCTTCATGCAGGACATTCTGGGTTCTATAAATAGACATTAGTAATCCTTTTAGAGAAAGGGCCTGGTACCTCTCAGCTGTTGGCTGAATCTGCCCCTCAACCCTTATAAATAGACTTTCTCATGGGACTCAAGAACCAAGAAAAACAGCCTGTCATGCTCTCTCTCTGTACCTTTTTTGTCTTGATTACTTTTGAATGTTCACATTGTATTTGTGTTTACATTATTTTTCTAAATAGAAAAGTGCCAGAGATGTCTGACGATTGAAATCACTCAATCACAGGGAAAGGAATCTGATAATTACTTAAGTCTAATCCTTTATGAAACAGGTTTAGAGAGATTTAGTGGCTTGATCAGGGTCCGAGGGACAGGCATAGGTTGAGTCCACCCTGATGTCCAGAAGATGGTCGAAAGTTCAATGGATGAAAAGGAATTGCGTTAGTTTTGGTACTGGCACATCGGTAAGAAGAAGTTTGTCTTGGGCTAGAAAATTACTTCCTTATTAGGCCCTGCTCTTTGCCTGAGTAGTCACAGTTATAGAGGAATACAGTTTGTAGGCAGTTTTTCTGAGAGATAAGGCATCGGCTCCTAGAGATTATCGCTGATGCTCTTTCAGCATCGGATGCAATACTTCAGACCACTGCATTTGAAAGACGAAGGGGCATGCTTATGTGGCACCGTGAAAAGTGAAATCCTTCCTTTATCTTGATGGTGGGAGCATGACAATACACTTGCACTTTGAAAAGCCTATGTGGAGTCTGCTCATTTCAAAATGAACAGAAACGCTGGCCTTTTGATGAATCCGATGTTTCCTCGGCCCAGAAAATAGAGACTGGGCTGGAAAGGCGTCCAGAGTTCAATTCTGGGCCCTGTCGGGTGTAGTTTTTCAGAGGGATGTAAACGGTTTCCAAAGAGAGCACCGGCCAAGGGACTCTAGGACCCAGAGTCTGCGCGCGAAGCCGGCTGGGCCCGCC